CGGGTTTATTGAATATCAGCAATTTCCGTCAATAATTTCTAGAGTTATGGCAATTGTGAACGTTTGAATGACAAAAGTGATCATGTGATCTGTATGAAATTTATATGCATTATTTAAATTAGTAAAACAAAAAAGCCTGTCAAATTTCAACAATTTCTGTAGATTACTTCCAGAGTTGAGACCCTTTTTTCAGTTTGTAGAACCTTGTAAATCCTCAAACGACAAAATTTATAATCTGATCTGTATGGAACTGTCTTGTAAGGGCCCCCAATTACGTACAAAGGAATAAATATGCGACAACCCTTGACGACCGCTCGGACGATTTAGCTGCTGTGGGCGTATGTTTTGTTGCCTGGCAACCTATCTTTACAAGTAGGTACGGATCGACAAGCTTTCATTCTATCATACATGTATTACGAAAACACATAATTATATATTCTTTAAGTGGCATTTAGTAACTGGGCAGATAAATAAACTATAAACATACTTATGGAAAACAGCTACTGTTTATAGTTTACATAATTATATGGGAATACTACTGGCATAAATTTGAATACCATACGGGAACTAAATATGAAAAATAGTGAGGTGTTCCTAAAATCTCGGTTCAGATTGGAACAATTTGACTAAAATTTTCAGCAAATTCCCTTTACATTATCTAGATTTTAACTTTTATAGTAAGAACTGCCAGCTCTTTATCTAATCTCCCATAATGTATCTTTAACATAAGGTGCGATTTTATGGATACACTAACATTAATATTATTGTGTATCCATAAAATTGTACCTTATGTTTGTGTTAAAGGAGCTAAATCGCTAATATTTGGGGCCTAGAAATCGACCCAAATGCATCACAACGCATATAATAATGTAATCTGATTGTACATAAACTAATTTACATTCAATTGTTTCCGTTTTGACTCTAATTTCAAATCAGTTATGTCCAGCGAAATTCGGCATAAGTCTCAACCGAATGCCAATTTTTAGCGTCTGGTTATTCCAGTCTATTGCGCATGCTCTCCAGATAAGATATGGCGTCACCGTTTGACATGAGTTGTTGAATATGTCTAGCCTCATTCTTTCTGGTCACTTGTTACAAATGACGCTGAAACGCATTATGGTACACGATTCGTGTACCAATGGTAAAATGTTTATTTTGTCTTAAATATTGGATATCAGAAGCCTACCTTTTCCCTGTAAGATTACAACATCAATGTTGATTTGAATTAACAAATAATTCATGTTTTCAACGTGTAAGGCTTTGAATGATATTGAGTTTGAGACTTAGCTACTTTAAAGTATGTAATACCATGGTTGTGGACCAGTGATGGGATTTCAAAAAATTTCATGTCGGACATTTTTTCCCGAAAATAAAGGGGCATAACTCTTACCGTAATTTAAGCAGTCGTTTTCAAAACACAATTAAGAATCATGTGTCAACAAAATATATTCAAATTCATATGTAAAAAAAAAATAGGTTCACCTCGTTATATTTTATGTTTAAAACCCGTACGGTATTCAAATTTATGTCAATAATATTCATACAAAATTACATGACATCGTAATACTATAGAATTGGCAGCGTGCCGACTGCTGCCGATCTGTTTCAAACTCCCCCAAAATTACCGAATTTTTCGGGTCATACGTCAGTACATTTCTCAGCAAAGTCCGACATTCGTCTGATACTCTGTTTCGGTTTATATACGGAAGGTGAAAAAATGACATCCCGAAATTTATTTGGCCGTAAACCGTAGTTAACGACGCCTTAATGAGCGAGGGACACCAACTGCTAAATAATTGCATTCGACTGTAGCACGCGGTACCGTCTAAAACATTTAACTACTTATGTCATTCCAATCGAAATATTCGTCAACATTTCTTAGCGTGTTTATTTATTTAAAGACATAAACCCCCTTCAAAATATAATCATAAATCCGACAATATGCTATCAAAATAGAATCTTTTCTCGAACATCAGGCGTATTGGATTCAGCACGTATACATCTCTTAATTTCACGTGTCTCGCAAGATTTGTACTTTCATTTTAATTACTGAACTCTACAAGCGCCATGTGTGTGAAATATCTTTATTTAACTTCGGCTTCCACCGAAAATATATCACAGACAAGTTATCGGATACAATGTATGTTGATTTGAGGTGTTATATACTATCAGGATATGTGACATATATGACTAATTTCTACGTGTTATTGTCCGACACAACAAAGGAGATTAAAACGTGAGACAATGGCGAAATCACGGGTTAATCAGATTAAGTTTATAATCACTCTTATTGGATTGATATATCGTCCGACAAAGGAGAAGCAATGACTTCTGTTCAGGATTGATTTGATGAATTGTCCGATAAAGAATTAAGTCAGCCAATCAAGGCAGAATAGTAGTTAATCAAGGTAGGTGTGTAAGACGATATAACACGATAAATAGTCTGTCACTTAATTACCTAATCAATCCAGCCTATTATTCACCATGTCTTGATGTCCGATTGGGCATATTCCCGGTCGGACAATTTTGGGCGTTTCGAAGAAAGATTCGGACAAGTCCGGAATATACGGGTAAAATCCCATCACTGTTGTGGACCCTCTAGAGGTCACAATTTGTATCTGATTTTGATGAAACTTAAATATATGTTTGATCTCGGCTCCTTTCGATATTCTTGCATATCAGATCGTAACTTCCTCGATTATGGCCCCCAATTGTACCAAAAATTGCGTTTTTAGTTTGTGGTACATCTAGAGGTCACAATTTTTATATGATTTAAAAAAAAACATTCCAATATATCCGATTTTAAAAACTGTTTAAATTAATCACTGTTACACCATAATGATGGTTGGGTTCAATGATTAGCAAATAGTGACAGGGCACGTAATACATATAACAAGGTTGTGGATCCTATAAAGGACATAATTTTTGTCCAAATTATTTAGTTGGCACTTTAATTATTGCATGTAAATCAAAACAAAATATTTTAATGAGTTTGATTTTGATGAGCATCAGACCGCAACTTTTACTCTACATGTGAAATATGTGCAAACTTTATGGAATCTCCAGGGTCCACAATTTTTGTCCAATAGAGATGAAACTGAACATATATGCTAAGGATTTAAAGATCTTTTGGGAGTTCTATTTTGGTGCTCATTAGACAGCAACTTCTTGGGTTATGGCCCCTGTCTTTTACACAAAATGTGAAAAATGTACAAAGTTTGTTGACCTTCTTTCTCAAGGGAGCTGCAGTGGCTCAGTGAGTAAGACGTTGGGTCGCTAACCTGAGGTCCAGGGTCTGGCAAGGGACAATGTATAGTTGTTTAGATGGTCTGAAAAACAGAGGCCCTGTGTACACATTGTCATTCTCGTAAATGAACCCTGACAGTTGGAATTGGAAATAATAGTAGAACATACATGTAGTGAAGCTGTCAGGGCAAAATTTCCCTCATAGCACACTGTGTGACATATACACGTCTTTATTAGCCCAGTATGAGCAAAACAGTAGGACGTTTAGCCCCATTTCATTTCCTCTATCTGATTTTAGATGAAACTTGAGGTCAAAAGAACTTGGGTGAGTTTGATTGTGACTAGAACTTGCTGGGTTATTGTCACTGCCTTTTTCGCAAAATATAAAATACATATGAAGTATAATGTGGGCTTTTCAGAGGCCACAATTTTTGTCCGATTCATATAAATCTTGGCCTGTTAGTCTGGCACAAACTCTATCCACAATCTATCCGCGACCATAAAGAGTTACTCCCCCTTTGCCGAAACCTTGTGAAAGAAATAACGGGTAGAGATTTTTAAGAAATTTTTAAAAAAATTTACTGTGAAGTATTGGGATCATGAGACGATGAACTCTTTCGATTATTGATATTCGGCATCTTGTAAATGCTCACATTACCTACTAAAGAATAAATGTGCGACAACCTTTGTCGACTGCTGTAGTACCATGGGTCTTTTGTCAGACATGGAGAGCGGACAACAAACTAAACCGGTTGCCACATCCAATGTATGACCCATGCATTGTTTCTTACTACATATCTTAGTAGCCTTGTTATCGTCTAGTATTTTCACTTGTCGTCTTTGCTTCCCCTTTACGTTGTGTATTCTCTTATCTATTGTCTTCTCAGTAGTTAAGACGTTTGTCTTGCCAGGAATAACAATGCAACAGTTTGTTTTTACATTTTATATATCATAGCTGGATACATAGATACAAGCATAGTAGATTACAATAATAAAGTCATTCTCTCAAACCCCATCCAGGCAGACTCACTAGGGGCGAGTCTGTTGACAGAAATTGCTACATTTTTCCCTTCCAGAATCAAGTGGCTGTCTAACGAATGCTCAAAGATATGATAGTCTTGTAGCTTTGGGTTTGGACGTTGAATTATCTAATTGGTCAAATATGATGTAAATAATTATAGAGATTGGTTAATTAGCCTAATGACGTCGAAACCTACCCTTATATGGATAGTGGAAACTTAAAGTAGAAATTCACACAAGATATCTGTTATCAACCTAGAATTAAATGTCTACCAAATTTTTTATTTATAACAATCTGTCACTCATTCACTGATTTTGATTTATGTACATATTAGACTTCAAAACCATGTGTGAATCTAATAATTAATATTAATTAATACAATATGATGCTATTATTAATTTAAAGAACAAAAATTCTAGCAATAGTCTTACCATGCTAGGCGATTTAGCTGCTGTATTTGTATGTTTAATTACCTGAGAAGCATTAAGGTCATGAGAGGATGTGCAAGAGTTACCCTCTTTTCCAAAGACATATGAACGCAATAGAGGCACAAGCTTTTAAAATATTTTTTTAAATCGAATGTTGAGCATTGGGCTCTTTATTGATTTCCCCTTTCTTTGTTCATCTCTTGCAAAATTTGCATAGATTATGCATGGCAACAGTTTGTTAGCGAATGGTTTAGTTGCTATGGGCGTATGCTTTGTTGGGTGAGTATTTTTTTTTAAATTTTCAGATTGAGATAAATCCACACATATCATCTGATTATTTACTGAAGATTTGTCAGAGATTAGGACCTCTAGTTGATAAAGAAGTGAAACCATGTATAACTGGTGTACGCTCCTTATTAGGGGCAGGTCAGATGTCCCTTTTAAGGACCATAGAAGGTATGGTATAGTTATCTATTTTTAAACACCCTCAATTAGACGTCCTAGAGTCTAGTTATCCTCTGATTGACTTTAAATTTGTACAAAGTGTTAATGATCACAAAAAAGCCTATGGATTAGTAAAAAGAAGAATCCTATTAAATATCAGTTAATTACATCAAGAGTTATGGCCCTTGTTTCACGTTATTAAACCTTGTGAACACCCTAACGCCAAAAGTTATCATCCGATCTTTGTGAAATTAATGTGCATTATTTAGATTAGTGAAACAAAGAAGCCTATTGAATTTCTGTTCATTACTTCTAGAGTTATGGCCCTTGTTTCACATTGTGAACCACTGATGGGATTTCAAACAATTTCTTGTCGGACATTTTTTCCCGAAAATAAAGGGGCATAACTCTTATCGTAATTTAAGCAGACGTTTTCAAAACACAATAAAGAATCACCTCGTTATATTTCATGTTTAAAACCCGTACGGTATTCAAATTTATGTCAATACTATTCCTACAAAATTACATGACATCGTAATACTATAGAATGGCAGCGTGCCGACTGCTGCCGATCTGTTTCAAACTCCCCCAAAATTACCGTATTTTTCGGGTCATACATGACGTCGGTACATTTTTCAGCAAAGTGTGACATTCGTCTGATACTCCGTTTCGATTTATATGCGGAAGGTAAAAAAATGACATCCCGAAATTTATTTGGCCGTAAACCGTAGTTAACGACGCTCTAATACAACGAGCGAGTGAGTGACACCAACTGCTAAATAATTGCATTCGACTGTAGCACGCGCTATCGTCTAAAACAATTAACTACTTACGTCATTCCAATCGAAATATTCGTCAACATTTCTTAGCGTGTTTATTTATTTAAAGACATAAACCCCCTTCAAAATATGATCATAAATCCGACAATATGCCATCAAAATAGAATCTTTTCCCGGACATCAGTCGTATTGGATTCGGCACGTATACATCTCTTAATTTCACGTGTCTCGCGAGATTTGTACTTTCATTTTAATTACTGAACTATATAAGCGCCATATGCGTGTGTGTGAAATATCTTTATTTAACTTCGGCTTCCACTGAAAATATATCACAGACAAGTTATCGGATACAATGTATGTTGATTTGAGGTGTTATATACTATCAGGATATGTGACATATATGACTAATTTCTACGTGTTATTGTCCGACACAAAGGAGATTAAAACGTGAGACAATGGACAAATCACGGGTTAATCAGATTAAGTTTATAATCACTCTTATTGGATTGATATATCGTCCGACAAAGGAGAAGCAATGACATCTGTTCATGATTGATTTGATGAATTGTCCGACAAAGGATTAAGTCAGCCAATCAAGGCAGAATAGTAGTTATGTAGACGACATAACACGATAAATAGTCGATCACTTAATTACCTAATCAATCCAGCCTATTATCAACGATAATCGGGTTGCACGGTAGTTATACACTCAGTACACTATATAAATTTTGGAATTTGAATATTATTCACCATGTCTTGATGTCCGATTGGGCATATTCACGATCGGACAATTTTGGGCGTTTCGAAAAAAGATTTGAACAAGTCCGGAATATACAGGTAAAATCCCATCACTGTTGTGAACGCTCTAACATCAAAAGTTATCTGCCGATCTGTATGAAATTTATATGCGTCAATATCCTATTGAATTTCAGCAATTTCCGTTTATTACTTCTAAAATAAATTAACCGCCAACAAGATAATTCAGATGTTGGATTTTTTAATTGATAATATCTTTGTTGAATTTGGAGGGGAAATTTATCAGCAAGTGGTAGGTATCCTCATGGGCACCAACTGTGCACCTTTGCTTGCTGATTTGTTTCTCTATTCCTACGAAGCCGATTACATACAGGCACTCGTAAAATCAAATAAACGATTAGTCAGACATTTTAATTTCACTTATCGATATATCGATGATGTTCTATCACTGAATAATCCAAAATTTAGTGATTATGTAGAATTCATATATCCTGATGAGCTCGAAATTAAAAACACTACTGACAGTGACAATTACGCTTCCTACTTGGATCTGAATCTCTATATTTTGACGATTGCCATAAACTTAGTGTTAAATTGTACGATAAACGTGATGACTTTGACTTTCCGATTGTTAACTTTCCATTTATTAGTAGTAACATTCCGATATCACCAGCTTATGGAGTGTTTGTGTCTCGGCTAATTCGTTACGCGAGAGCTTGTTCATTTTATTCTGATTTTTTAAGTAGATCGAGGCATTTGTCATCTAAGCTTTAACTACAGGGATACTTGCGAACTAAACTTATTAAAACCTTTAAAAAGTTTTATGGCCTTCATATTGACTTGATTGGTAAATATAACATGTCTCTCTAGGCTATTATTCTAGATATATTTAATTGACGCGTATACTATCTCCCTGATAATGTCTGTCTACTACATTGTTAACACTGTTTATCACATGCATTTTGCATACCGATATTCCATTGGCCAATCACGCTATTTTACTGAGATTTCGCCTAATAGTTTGGATGCAGCTATGGCGGGTGTGGCGCCAGGCAGGGTAAGCCTACTCTTCCGGACACCTGTTACCACTGTTTGTCGTGTATTTTGTACATGGTGAACAGTCCATATGCTGATTACACTATTTTGCCTGATTACACTATTTTGCCTATACCGTTTTTTAAGGACTTCGAATTTTGTCTAATGGTTTGGATTGTTCGTACTTGTTTTTATTTTATTCCAGAGTTATCTGCCGATCTGTATGAAATTTATATGCGTGATTTAAAGTAGTAAAAAAAAGAATCCTATTGAATTTCAGCAATTTCCGTTGTTACGTCTAGAGTTATTGCCCTTGTTTCACTTTGTTGAACCTTGTCAACGCTTTAACGCCAGAAATTATCATCCGATCTGCTGAATTTCAATAATTTCTGTTAATTACAGTACACTTCGAGCGGAAGTATGAAAATAGTCCTTGTGGGCGTTTTTTTCTGCTCAAAAATCGCGGTGTTTTACCCATATACACTCCGCGGAATTAGAGACGTTCTGGGCGGAAAAAAGTCCGCGAAAATATAAAATTCGCGGTGGATTAGCGCCTGCGAAAATATTAAATTCGCGGCGGATTATAGTCGGTGGAAATATCAAATTCGCGGCAGATTATAGTCCATAGTGATTTGAAATAGAGTAATTTAGTCCATATTGCCACAACGTTATTAGAAAGAAACAAATATTTAATGGAACGATATCACAAGTATATTAGTCGTTTTAGTTCACCAGTAATTCATATATTCATAATACTATTTTCAAATTCCGTTTTGATTATTAACTAAAGTGTACCAATGTATTATTGTATTAGAGACGTTCTGGGCGGAAAAAAGTCCGCGAAAATATAAAATTCGCGGTGGATTATCGCCCGCGAAAATATTAAATTCGCGGCGGATTATAGTCGGTGGAAATATCAAATTCGCGGCGGATTATAGTCCATAGTGATTTGAAATAGAGTAATTTAGTCCATATTGCCACAACGTTATTAGAAAGAAACAAATATTTAATGGAACGATATCACGAGTATATTAGTCGTTTTAGTTCACCGGTAATTCATATATTCATAATACTATTTTCAAATTCCGTTTTGATTATTAACTAAAGTGTACCAATGTATTATTGTATTCATATCCTAAAATGTCCGTTATGTTCTATTCATTTATAATGTACATCTACATCAGTATTTAATTCGTGAATCACACCATAAAGCACAGACACATAGCAATTTTCTATGTCATTAGTTGATCCGACAAGCAGACAATGAAACCATGTTTCGTGAATTCTGATAACAATGTCTGAAAATGGACGACAATAAACATATATAGAAGGCTGCGATTTGCACGTGGATGTTTTAAAATATGCTGTTTTTTTATATACTGATTTATTATCCGTTTTAATTATGAACAACAATTTAACGATATTCGTAGAAAAAAACGAATCAGCATAAATTGCTAGGAAGGAATATTTTCTCCTTTAACGGTAATTCAATTAAAATGACGATTCGGCTCCCAATGTTCAATATATACATGTACTTTATGTCCCCAAAATTAAAAGTCATATTGGATAGAAGCTGGAAGATTGTTTACTTATTTCAGTTTCGTATTTGACTTTACAGATTCCCCATTCCCCACATTGCAAAACAGATCAACACGTCAAATCGTTTCAGTTACAGGTATAAGGCTTAAAAATATCATGTCTTAAATAGCCCCTTCAAATATTTCTTTTTATACTTTAACTTATAAATGCAACACACAAACTGCTTACCGTATTTATACAGTTGACGATAAATATCCTAAATAATAATCCGGTTCGGTTTCTTTCCAATAATTATTAATGAACATATCGAAGAACCTTTAATAAAACACCTAACAACCAGATCTTATGAATGGGATCTTGTCCGGACAGACCTTAGATTAATAGTAACTGATCAAAGAGTGAACATCAAGCAGAACAAAGGAAATTGCCTCACAAAAAAGCATGCGTTAGTTATAAGGGATGATTTGTGTGCCAAATTAAAAATATTATCACCGAGAGGGTTCACTAGTCCGCCGCTATAAGAAATACTATAATGTGGGTATCAATAAACCTAACCCTAACTCAACCCTAATGATAGATATCGGTGGACTAATGAACCCTAACCCAACCCTAACCCTAAAAAAAGATATCGGAACCCTAACCCTAACCTAACCCTAATTCATCGTAGCCTGTTAGTAATTTAGCCGTGACAACCGCACCTATTTAGTGTGAAAATCCAGTTTGTTCGCGTCCCAATTGTAATTATTCTTTATTAATGTGGTCAACTATTTTGGGTAATGATTACTTACAGACAATTCAGAATGAAAGTATTGTCTACAAGACTACGACATGGTAACAATTTGTTGTTAAAGGGGCTTCTATTATAGTCAATTATCAATTCCCTTTGATGACACGTGCGAATTCACGTAATTTGGAAACTTGATTGACAGTATGCATTGACTCTTTGGTGCGGAAATGAATAGGTCATCATGGTATTATGTACATGTTTGCGTCAAGGTTGACGTTGACTTCTGGCGAGGTGTGCATTTAATTCATTTGTGATTTAAATCCGAATGTCTGCGATATCACCTCGGTGGAAGCGGACGTAAAATACAACTAACTCATCATCATAAATCCGAAGATATAATACTTCAGGTGTGATTTACCGATTTACAATGCATTGTGAAACTTATTTGTCAGAATGGGAATGGATATTTTAATGGACAAAACTTTCACCCACGGTAAGACCAACATCTATGTCTATAAATTTTGAAATTTTCGTAATTTGAACGAGTTTGAATGTCTTAAAAATGACGAACATATTGATGAAGTAATGAATCGTACAGCCATAACTCTGTTTATTATATTATATAAAAGCCTGCCAATTTTTGATATTTGTTATATTTTCAATGTAAGACAGCAAAATCTGCGTGTCTAACCGTGTTAAATTAACAATCTTTTTTTTGCATGCCGTATTAGCTGATATTCGACTACGATATGATGACTGCGGTGCAATTGCACTATAAATAAACCTAGCTATTTTAAAACATTTACATGTACGGATGTGCTGACTGTACATGCATGGAAAGTCCAACTTAAAGGGGCACGGTGCGATATAAGGGATGGTTTTTGTGCCAAATTAAAAAAAATATCACCACCGGTTCAACGAATGATTTTAACAGAATATGTCACCTGCGAACATGATGATTAAGTATTCTTTTCACACGGCGCATACGCTAACCTTTAAGTCTGTACCGATTCAAAAATTGAATCTGTACTTCTAGAGTTATGGCCCTTATTTATCGCTGTTGCACATTGTGAACACTCTAACATCAAGAGTTATCTGCCAATCTGTATGAAATTTATATGCGTCATTTAAATTAGCAAAAAGAAGAATCCTATTGAATTTCAGAAATTTCCGTTTATTACTTCCAGAGTTATGGCCCAAAATTATTTGCCAATCTGTATGAAATTTACATGCGTCATTTAAAGTAGTAAAAAGAAGAATCCTATTGAATTTCAGCAATTTCCGTTGTTACGTCTAGAGTTATGGCCCTTGTTTCACTTTGTTGAACCGTGTGAACACTCTCACGACTAAAGTTATAATTTGATCTGTATGAAATTGATATGCATTATTTAGATAATGGTAGTAAAACAAAGAAGCCTATTGAATTTCATCAATTTACGTTAATTACTTCTAGAGTTATAGCCCTTGTTTCACTTTGTTGAACCCTTTGTGAACACTTGAAAGACAAAAGTTATCATTCGATCTGTATTAAATTTTAATGCATTATTTAAAATAGTACCTTAAAACGAAAAAGCCTGACAAATTTCAAAATTTTCTATAAATTGCTTCCAGAGTTAAAGACCTTGTTTCAGTTTGTAGAACCTTGTGAACCTTCAAACGACAAAAATTATAATCTGATCTGTATGAAATTGTTTTGTAAATGCCCCCAATAACCTACAAAAGAATAAATATGCGACAACCCTTGTCGACCGGTCGGACGATTTAGCTGCTGTGGGCATATGTTGCTAAAGATTATATAAATTATTTTAGACTGCCTCTATTTTAACACACTGTTTATGTTCTTGAAGAGAACAAGTTTAGAATTACCTTTAGAGTTATTAGTCATGTTCACTTTTAAAAGGTTATTTTCCGATTGATATGAAATAAATTTTATGTGATGAAAGTTTAATCATGAAACCTATTCATTTTCAGCTATTTCCCAGAACTCAAACAGCTGAATTTATCATTGTTACCGGTACATATTTTGGATAATAAATGTTAGCATCTTGAAGAACTAGAAGCCAATTAATCAAATATTAATTATTTTTGACTTGATGGGTTGTTTTACTTTTGATCAGTTTCTAGTGTCTTTTCAATGCTCCCATATCCTACAAAATGAAAAATATGTGACAACCCTTGTCAGCCACTGCAAAATTTAGTCAATCTATTGAAAAAAATATCATACTTTTGGATAATAACAAATTTAATGGTTTGAATAGATTTCCTAATTGTTCTAAATATATCTTTAATTGTATCTGTTTTCAGATTTGAAGGAAACCAAGTGGACACCATCTCAGCATATTGTATTATCTCATGGAAACCCAGTATTACCACCAGCAAATTTAGCGCTACCAAATATATGTATGTTCCACTTAGTATCTTATTTTGATTATGTTGCTTGGGTGACACTCATTCAGATTTGTTATGATGAACTAGATAAACCCACAGGAGTCAGGCAAACATATACATTTGCTAATATTTTCAATGATGTCTCCAAGAAGACTGTGCATTTCAACCAAATTTGTGAGATTTTTGTCCTCCGCCTTTATAACAAAGCAGGACACTATAAAAGTCTGTCTATTCCGTCTGTCTAGGCTGGCTGTCTCTATGTCCGTCACAATGACCATTTGATACAAATTGAGTGAGGAGAGAAAGTTGATACTAGACCAAACCAACTCTCCAAATCACTGTACATTCATATGTACATTGATATGTGCTTTTGGACCCATTTTCATCTATTTTAAGGTTGCAAAAATTAGAGCTATACGCTGCTTTTTAACATATTATTTCAAATTTGGTCTGAAGTCTTGGATCTTGCGCAGACGAACCCTAATGATATTCAGCATTCTGTGACTTTTCCTTCTGAAGTTGCCCATCTTTTCCGAAAAATGAAATTAAATGGGATCTTTTACGTGTATGCCAATGTGTACACGGGACCTCGGTTTCTCATCCCATCCGAACAACTAGACAGCATCCTTGTTAGGCTCTCGATCCTTCACCACTGACAAGGGGAACCACGTCGGAAAATCCTGATGAACTTCCCCGGCCAAAATCGGTAGCGAACCAGCGACCTTCGGGCTAGCAAGTCAGAGTCTTACCCACTTAGCCACCGTGGCTCCTTTTCCGAAAAGCTTAAAGCAATAGAGGCTACAGTTTTTAACAGATTTCGATGTGAAGCATTGGGACAGTTAGAGGATGAGCCCTATCAATTTTTATACGCCCACAAAGAAATGTGTACATATATTGCCGTCGCCCCCGTCCGTCCGTCGGTCGGTCCATCCGTCCATCGTCAACAATTTCTTGAGAACGCTCTAACGCCAAATGTTATTATCCAATTGATATATGTTGTTTACATTAGTGAGATGAAGAAGCCTATTGAATTTCAGCAATTTCTGTTTATTACTTCTAGAGTTATGGCCCCTGTTTCACTTTGTTTAACCTTGTAAACACTTTAACCCGAAAAGTTATCATCCTATCTTTCTGAAATTTCTATGCATTATTTAAATTAGTGAAACGAAGAAGCTTTTTGAATTGCAGCAATTTCTGTGTATTACTTCTAGAGTTATGGCTGTGTATTACTTCTAGAGTTATGGCCCTTGTTTCACTTCATTGAACCTTGTGAACGCTCTAATGCCAAAGTTAACATCCGGTCTTTGTGAAATTTATATGCAATATTAAATTAGAGAAACGAAGAAGTCTATTTAATTTCAGTAATTTCCGTTTATTACTTCTAGAGTTATGGCCCTTTTTTCACTTTGTTTAACCTTGTTAATGCTCTAACCCCAAAAGTTTTCATCCGATCTTCCTTAAATTTATATGCATTATTTAAAGTAGTGAAACGAAGAAGCTTATTGAATTTCAGCAATTTCTGTTTATTACGTCTAGAGTTATCGCCCTTGTTTCACTTTATTGAACTTTGTGAATGCTCTAACATCAAAATTTATCTGCCGATATGTATGAAATTTACATGCGTCATTTAAATTAGTAAAGAGAAGAATCCTATTGAATTTCAGCAATTTCCGTTTATTACTTCTAGAGTTATTGCCCTTGTTTAACTTTGTTCAACCTTCTTAATGCTCGATTGATGAAAGTTATCATCCGATATGTATAAAATGAAAAAGTCTGTCAAATTTTAACAATTTCTGTAGATTACTTCCAGAGTTGAGACCCTTGTTTCAATTTGTAGAACCTTGTGAACCCTCAAACAGCAAAAATTATAAGCTGATCTGTATGGAACTGTCTTGTAAAGGCCCCCAATTACCTACAAAGGATTAAATATGCGACAACCGTTTTGGACAGCTCGGACGATTTAGCCGCTGTGGGTGTATGTTTCGTTGCCTGGCAACCTATCTTCCCTATTCTCCGTCCAATACTTGCAAAATGTGGTGCAGGACGGAAGGCCAGATAAGGACAGCTTTCTAGTTGTTCAGATGAGACTTTAACTTTTCTTTGGATATAAACATTTCTTTAATGTTTGTAAACAATTTGTAAATTTAAATCAAAATTCAGTGCATTGTATCTTACCTGATCCTTGCATTACAAATTGCAAATTTAGATCCAAAAGTTATGAATTCAACAAAACATAGACATTGGGTTTTCAAGCCATAATTTTGCTACTGGACAATTTTAGCATGAAGTGCGCCACTTATGTAGCCTATGAAGATCGTTCAAATGGGAGGGTGTGTAAATCCGGAAAGTGTATATCCCAAATTTTGTTCCAAAAAGATCAAAACTGATTGAATAATAAGCTGTGGCCGGGATGATATTTTGATTCTAATAGGATTTTAAACCTCATTTCATTATGATTCTATTTAAGTGCAGCATTGCAAACTGTCAATCTACAGTATATATTTGTGATGCTCGTAGACAAGTATAAAAACCTGGTCCCTATGCAGCCACAACAAATGATCTAGTTTTGTGAAACACCCATGTTACTATGGATCACTGCATGTTCCTGAAGCAACGACTGCAAGTTTTACAACATCTGGACATTGCTAGATTACTGTTGTTGTTGTTGTTTACTAAAGATTTAACGTCCAATACATTAGATATATTATGGACAGGTTGATTTAATTAAATTATTTACATGTACACTTAATGAGTTTAAGATTGGTAAAAGCATACAATACAAAAGTCCGTGTATATCAAATTCCCTTAAAATTGGTAAAAACACAATATAAAAAGTCCTTGTATATTAAAAAGTCAATTTAAAGCACACTTATAAAATCGCTATCGTGAGAAGAGAGGGCAGGTCATCTTCTCCCTTTGTCATAATAAAAACATGTTAAGAGCGTGTCCGCGAGAGCACCATGCAGGGGGTGATAACCCTTGGGTCAGGGATTTGGACCAAATTTTTTCTGTGAGATGGGTTAGTACCCAGATACATTCCCACAAAATATTAGATTGATTCAGTTGATACTGACCTGGAAAATTGGAAAAGTATTTTTTAATCGAAAAATAAGCCAAAAATAGGCAATTTTGGATCCAAATTTGAATGACCTGCTATTCGGACAATAATTGATTTGGAAAGACAAAATTTGGGGCATTAGTAGGACCACTCAGGTTCCTCCTTCACACTGAGTTTGAAGTTTCTACTGCTAATTATACCTTGGTACTGGCCGGATACCCAACTCTCTCTGAAAATTGAATTTAATGAAAACCAATGTTTAAGAGGCTATAGCTCGTTCTTTGCAGGGACTAGGACCAAAGTTGAATATAACCCACAACTAGCAACCTTCCTACTAACAAAATAAAAAATAAAAATGACCGGAACAGTCATAATAAAAACAGGAGAAATATATTAAAAACACCAAAAATTAGGATAAAATGTCCCGTCTATCAATACCCCAGATGAAGTATATGTATGGACATCTTTACAAATTTAATATATTCCATTTAGTCGTTAGCAAGGATGTTTTAGACATGAGAGGAACAAAGTAAAATGAGATTTAAAGTCCACTGGACACAAACTAGGTCATTTTGGGACTAGCATATTATGGTGATGCATACTGTATCTATGGACATCATCACAAAGTTAATATATTTGTTAGTAAGGGTGATTTTGACTTAAGAGAGAGAAATGGGGTTTAAGGTCCACTCAACACAAACTAGGTCATTTTGGGACTAACATATGGTACAATTTTACTTCAATAATACACTTGTGGGAAAAGAGAATATCCATGAGGTTGGACAAACAACACCACACCATGTCACTGGCATGCTGTCACACCACTTAACTCAATGACAGACCTTAGGATCTAAAGTCTATGTGTTAGACCAGGGACAAGTTTCATGAATGTCCAATGCAATTTAAACAGAACAAATCGTCTTCTATAAATATGATATAATGAAAGGTGAAATATGATACACGATTCAGTGTAAGCATATTTTAGCTCTTGGGTAAAAGAAGTGTTTCGAAGGGATGTACATGTTCGCTCTTGTAACAGGTTTTAAGGACGAGGGGATTGTAGATGATCCAGTGACAGTAAGTCGTAGTCACACATTCAGCAAGACGACTATACAACACCTTTTCTACCAATGTTCCTTGTGCCAAATAGGTTATTTTGGTCAAACATATTTTAGGAATCAGACCAGCTTATTCCTATCTGTATTTAGGAGCCGATCATTGTATAGAAACATTAGGACGTTTTCATGGAGAGGCATTAGAGATCGGGAGGCTATGATAATTCCATATTGAAATCCCTGAAGGAGAAGAGGTCAAAAACAGTACTAAAAAATAAAACAGTACTCTGTGGTCCAAAAACCTTGAAGGAAGGTCAGAGAGAATTTACACTCGAACGTAGGAATCTAAGTAAGTGAGCACTTCTGCTCGAACGTAGGTATATGTAGGAGTTTGGCACATGCGGTCAACATTATCCTGGAGTGCCATAAATCCTGTTGTGATCTATGCCATGATTCAGAGATTTCGATACCAGATATTAAATGTCCCTACATGAACACTTCTGAATGTTTCTTCTTATGGTTCTTCTTTACATGAGCAGGTGTCAAATTAAAAGATATCAAGTTTATGATAGTCATGTCAGTCAAATTTATACGATGATCTGCTCATGAATACAAATCTTAATAACAGTGGTCTGATCCCTGCAAAATTACACACCACTTATGACTCTTCCCTATGGCTATCAAGCAAGCGTGAAAGTCAGATTTTGTTACAAAAATATTATGATTTTAAACAAAATGATCTATTTGACACGATTCACGTTGAAATTACGAAATATTACAACTAATGGTGATGATCAATAGTCATTTGAAGATAATCGTTGGTCATTGCTGAAAAGGTGCTGCTTTGGTTAAATTGTGCTAATATAAAAACTTGCTATGCCAGTCCTTACATTTATGCACTTCCGTGCTACTAACTACTGAATACAGATGAGAATAATCGTTGCCTGATCCTGCAAAATTATAAACCAGTTAAGCCCCTTTACTACGATGACCGCGAACGTCCGATTTTGTCACAAAAACTTAATGATTTTTTTAACCAAGATAGTATATTTGGCACAAGGAACGTTCAAGTAACAAAAAATAGTACTGATGTTCATAATCAACGGTCATTTGAACTCTTAAAAATAGTAGTCGGTCATCAGTGAAAAGACGAATTTCGTGGAAAATACCGTTTTTACACATTTTCAGAATATTACAGTACTCTAGTGGGTTGCGTTCCGGTCAGTTTTTTTCTTTTGACATTTACTTTGAGAAATGCCCTTCACAACCACACCAAGCAATTCTATGTCAGACCTGCAAAGAAGCAGCTACATGCGTTTTAGGATAGCATAGTTTTAAACATATGTAAAATGACCACTTTATGATCACTCACAGAAAATTCCACACGATTCATTCATTCCCAAACGACTGCAGGATTTTAAGACGACTACTAGGCCTATCATACCTGACCAATATCAAAAATTTAGAGACACAACATTTCGGGTAGGAGCGTTTTGAAATTAGGGTAACAAATTGGTCGAAATATGTCAACTTTTGCCCCAAAACAACAATTTCCAGTTATACCGGAAGTTGTCCGTTTAAAAAATTTTCACTTCATCATGTGACTTCTGTCGCCTAGGGGTCCCCATAGACCAAGTATGGTTGAAATTTGCTGCCCCCCCGGGTTATCATTTTTTTCAATTTCTGCATGGTGCTCTCGTGGACACGCTCTTAAAACAATTCCCGAACTTATAGCTACTTATCTACAGATACGTGAACAGTAGTGTCATATCAGAGGAGGTGACATCGCGATCTCCACAGAAACCTTGACATTGGATGAACCTTGAACTTTGCAACTCGATTATCACAGGTAGACATGTTAGCTTGAAAGCGCGAGACTTGGTATTCACAACGACTGGGGAATCTGATAGGCTCACAAGCTGGGCTTGTACCCGATCGAAATTAGTGCCGAAATATGCAGGTTATTACAGGAAGGCATTATTGATAAGATGTACGTAGTTAAAGCGAGATCAAGCCTTCTATTGAAGATGGGGACACCGTGGATCTGCCCAAAGACAAGAATACTTTTATTAAGTTTCACAACATGAAACGATTTACCTGAAAAGAATTTATAATTATATAGCAATTCCTGTGCACTCTCTGTAAATTCCTATTCATATTCTGTCAATTTATTTGTATTATTTGTTGAAACATTCTATTTATATACTAGGCCCTTGGTATACACTATATTAATGTTAGTTGGCCTTAATATTTTTCAAAATGAATATAACATTGTATCTATCATTTGAGACATTTTTATCAATTAACATTTTATAAGGAAAAGACATAAGTTGGTAAAACTTTTGTCTAATCCTTTTGTATTGTCCAATGTAATTTTGATGCAATAAAATAAGGTTAAACTAACTAAATAATAAATACCGGTACCATTGATTTACAAAGAATAAGATAGTCATCTTAAGAATATTTTGTTTTCGACAGGTCATGTATTGAGAGCTCAAGAATTAAGTGGTAAAAGTCGAAAGGATACACTATTCCCCAGTCCATTATTTAGTAAACTTGTATTACATGATAGAAAGTTAGGTCATTTATCAGCTGTATACTGTATTGCCTTTGATCGTACTGGACGTCATATATTTACGGTAAGCTCAACATACATGTATAGCTTCACTACTTTATGAAAGGTAAACATGCAGCCATTTTTATGTGCACTCACATTGAATTGTGGTTGTATATTGTCATCACCCCTGCCTGTCCTATAGACTTGTACACAGTGTTTGAGGTCATTACATGAAGAAGCCCATATAATTACTGCCGGAGTTACGGTCCTTGATCATCAGAAAAATCTTGTGAATGCTCTACAGACCAAACTTATCAACGGATTGACTTTAAACTTACACACAGTGGTTAAGGTCATGGGACGAAGAAGCCTGTTGATTTTCAATGATTTCCACTAAGTACTGTCAGAGTTATGGATCTTGATCACTTTGAATAATCTTGTACATGCTCCTAGAGACCAAAGTTTTCAACCGATTGACTTTATATTTACACAAACTGTTTAAGGTCATGGGACGAAGAAGCCCTTTTCTGATAATTACTGCCAGAGTTAAGGCCTTTGATTACTTTGAAATAGTCTGGAGAACAAAGTTATCAGCCAATTGACTTTAAATTTATACTCCGTGGTTGAGGCCATGAGATAAGAAACCTGTTGATTTTCAACAATTTATTATTATTACTGCCAGAGTTATTACTCTTGATCCCTTTGAAAAACTTGTTGATGGTCTAGTAATTCTAGAGACCAAAGTTATCGTGTGATTCTCTTAAATTTATGCAGTGTTTAAGGTCATGAAATGAAGAGTAACTTTTCGATAATTACTAAATAGGTTGTTTCTCTTGATGAGTTTTGAGTGTCTTTTCAGTTGTTTCTCTTGACCAGTTTTTAATATCTTTACAATGCTCCCATACCTACAAAACAATAAATATACGACAACCCTTACAGACTGCTCAGAAATAGCTACTGTGGGTGTATGTTTCATTACCAGGCAAGCTATCTTTTATTAATTTCTATCTTATGTGCATCTGACATTATAAGCAACAGTGTATTCATATATTTCTACTTAGTCTACCTGACAAAATTAAAGAGCACATAAGGTCACCTGACGAAATTTTCTGTACTTGTAGCCAGTGGTTGCCATATGCACTTTACGGCAAGTTCACACCAATGTGATTAAAATTAAATCAGCCATCTTCACTCAAAGTCGCAAATATAGACCTCCCGTAAAAACAACTTCGCCAGTTATTGAATACACTCTCAATCCCTTCCAACACCGGTGACGTCACAGTAACTGAATGCACATTCGGAATGTTTCTTCCTTAGTTACCTACAGCCGGGGTGTGTATTCATTTATGCCTGACTGACTACTAAATCCCCTAATTAAAAATACATTATTACAGATTACATAAAGAACCGGCAGTTCTCATTATAAAAGTTAAAAACCAGACGATGTAAAGGGAATATGCTGAAAATTTCAGTCAAATTACTTTACTCTAAGCCTAAGCTGAGAAAACCTTATTTTAAAATCACTGTAGCCTTGATTGTCATTGTTACCGCTGTCCCGATAATTAACAAGGTCTCGATTATCCATTTTTGTGATTAATCATTCAAATCCAATGAAAATCGGACTCCAATGAAAATCGGACACATAAGTTGACATCGAGAGTTGATTATGGTCTTTTCATGTTAATAAATGTCTAATTAATAGTTTATATAACATTTCAGGCCTAAAGAGAGACCTGCAATAGGCAGATTTACCAATCAACCGGATTAAGGCTGTAATTGAAAAGTGTTTTCGGGTGTCGAATAATTGTAATCAGATTGATGTGAGCTTGCCGTAAAGTGTGCAGTGACCACTGGCTATAAGTACAGAAAATTTGGTCTTGTGACCTTATGTGCTCTTTAAGAAAGAAAGTAATTGGTCATGAACCATGCTAAGAACCATACTTACCGAAAAATAGAGATCATTGTTTACATTACAAAACCATTTTTATTAGGGTGCTGATGATCATCTTGTTAAAATATGGAGTGTAGAAGATGGCCGTCTGCTAGCAACATTCAGAGGGCATTCAGCAGAAATAACAGACATGGCAGTTAATTATGAAAATACATTATTAGCAGCTGGTAGTTGTGATAAAATGATAAGAGTCTGGTGTTTAAAAACTAAGTCACCAGTAGCTATTTTACATGGTCATACTGGTATGATCACATCTGTTCAGGTATAGTAGTAATAATTATGTGATGTGTACCATGGGTTCCACGTCGGCCGTATATGCCGGTCGAGACCTACGGCTATGGAAAATGACCGTTCCTAAATCTGACCTAACGGTCATTTTGCACGCCGGAAAGAGGGTCTTTTTAAAAAAAAAAAAATTTCAAACATGACTACGATCGACCTTCACTGTGTAACTATACAAGAATGCGCGTCGTCTAGAAGCCAGCGCGTCGTCTAGAAGCCAATCTCGTGATTGGTGTTATAGAGTTGTATATATAGTCGTCAACAGATTATACTGAGTGTTGTGTTGATAATTAATGATGAGTATCTGGTAGTAGAACAATCAACGGCGTGAAGCGGCCCATTGTTAATCATTCACGTATTGACCACGTGTCATAAGAATTTTCAACAACAAAGCCGTTTACCGCTATTACGGTCAGGCACAATGTAAACGAGGTTATTATGATCTTCGAAAAAGGGCAATTGCTATGAAGTATTGCTCTTCGAATCCAACCAACTGTCATATCAAATAAAACAGCATAGAAATTACGTAAATCCTCAACAACGTACGTGTTGGAAGAAAAATGCATTTAAAAATAAAATGTTTATAGCGGTATTACGGCCTTGTTGAAATTGTTGAAATAAAATCTAGAGATTAGTTAACTTGCTTACCGAACAATTAAGAAAAATACGTATTCCAGTTCTATTGTGCAGCAATATTGATAATTCCACGTGTCGAAGAAATGTCGTGTATATACGGTTACTCTTATACACGACCATATTCTAGGGGGCGCTAGTGTCGCTAGCCGTGAAGTTAGTTATCCGTTAGTCATTTAGTTATACATTATTAGGATTTAAGTCACAATTCTGCGGCCCGTACTTCCGTAAGAGATGGTCTAAAACCAAAAAAATGTGAGATGTATGCCATGGATAATTATATATTTATCTTCATTTCAAAGTTATTGTATTACAACTTAAAATTATCCAGGTCAGTGTGTTTTCTATAGAGCACGTGTTAATTACATGTAAGCTACTGAAATGGTTTTTCTCCGGCCAATTCAACTATTTCGTTATTTAAGTAGCCAAAACGGAATATTTAATTATTAAATAATTATCATGAGCCTTACTAATATTTCATTTTTAAGTCAAATATATTTTTTTTGTGCACCCCATGGTGACAAAGTAGTATAGACACGTGAATTCATAATACCCTACCATGAATAAAAAACATGAAATATAAATTTACTTTGAAAAGTTTTCGTGCGTTATCAAAAATGACCGGCAGTGAAAATTTTGAAGTGGAAGCCCTGATGTGTACTCATCTAGAATTAATAATTGCTGACCTTTGCATTGGCAGATCATGTACACTCTACATCTCACAATTCCTATCCGATTTTGACGAAACTTAAAATATAGGTCTATCTCTCAAAGATCTTGGTTCTTTTCGATATTGGCATGTATTGGACCATAACTTCATGGATTATGGCCCCTGATTGTACGAAAAATCTCGTTTTTTGCTTGTGGACACACCAGAGGTCACACAATTTTCATCTGATTTTGATGAAACTTGATATGCATGTTTATGACCCAAAGATCTTGGTTCCTTTCAATATATGCGCATATTTTCACTGTTACACCGTAAAGTTGGTTGAGTTCGAAAATCCGAACAAAATGACCACCCCTCGTACGCAGATAGATGGTCTATCAAGGACTCAAGGTTGTGGACTCTCTAGAGGACAAAATTTTGATCCGATTTTGATGGAACCTGAAATATGTTTATAACCCAAGGATCTTGGTTCCTTACGATATTTGCCTGTCAAGGACAACTGTCTCGTCCTTCGGATGATACGAAAAACGGAGGTCCCGTGTATATATTGGAATGCACGTAAAAGATTCCCTGGCAGTTGGAACTCGATATAAGAGTAGGCGATAGTGCCGCTGCCTGGGCAAAATTTCCCTCATAGCACACTGTATGGCGTATGCCCGTCTTCATTAGCCCAGTATAGGAGCAGAACAGTAGGACGTTAAACCCCATTTCATTTCATTTCCTTTCGATATTCACGTATGTGGATTGTAACTTCCTGAATTATGGCCCTTGATTGTACGAAAAATCACGTTTTTAGCTTGTGGTCCCTCTAGAGGTAACAATTTTTATACGATTGAAAAAAACATTTGAATATATAACTGTTACACCTTAATGATGGCGAAGTTCGAATTTCAAAAAAATGGGACCAAAACTGCCGGACAAAATGGCTGCTCCTCGTACGCAAATAGTGTAAATATATGGTATATGGTAATTTTGATCCTATTTTGATAAAACTTTGTAACTTATATATCTTTATAACCCAAAGAACTTGGTTCCTTTCGATAATGGCGCATATCAGATCGTAACTTCCTGAATTATGGCCCTTGATTGTACAGTAAATCGCTATTTTTTCTTTTTTATTTTTAATCGACGCTGGAGCAATGTGATGTTTTCAGATGAGTCAAGGTTCACTGTTTTTTTTGGACAGACGTAGGAGGGTGTGGCGTCGTCGAAACGAGCGCTTCCAAGACGTTAACGTCATCAGACATGATCGATTTGGGGGTGGTTCTGTTATGGTGTGGGGAGGCATCACTGTTGCTGGAAGATCGGCTTTACATGTTGTTGCAGGGCGTGTTACAGGCCAGTACTACCGGGACAACATCTTGGCAGTCCATGTTGTGCCGTTCGCACGACGTCATGGCCGCCGTTTCATCTTCCAGGATGACAACGCAAGATGTCACAGGGCCAGGATCGTTACAGGTTACCTCCAACAACAGAACATCACCACATTACCTTGGCCAGCACTGAGTCCCGACCTCTCCCCCATCGAGCATGTCTGGGACATGCTTGGACAGAGGTTACGTCAACGTCAACAACGTCCTGCCAATGTCCAAGAACTTGCTGCTGCGTTGCAACAGGAATGGGACAATCTGGACCAAAATGACCTTAGACGTCTCATTAGGAGTATGCCACGTCGGATCAATGCTTGTTTGGCAAACAGAGGAGGATTTACCCGTTACTGACCTGGTTGTGATGCTGTGGTAACTTTGCTGTTTGACCCCGGGTATCATTTTACCCTTATAATGGTCAGTCTGTGCCTTACTTAGTCTAACGATCATTTGGAATAAATCGATGAATGTGAACTTCATTTCATTTTGTCATTTGTTTCTTCGTCAGTTTCATTAGGTGACTTTAATAACACTTAAAAATCAAATATCCCCTACTTTTTTTGAATAGTATACCTACAAAAGAATAAATATGCAACAACCCTTGTCGACTGCTCAGATGAATTAGCTGCTGTGACCGTATGTTTCGTTGCCTGGCAACCTGCTTTCTATATGTCGATTCAGTATTACTATTAATGACTTTCATTCTTTTTTAGTTTTGTCCTCAATCAAAGGGAGACAACAGAATTTTGTTGTCAACAGGAGCTGATGGTTGTGTCTGTTTCTGGACTTGGAACATATCAACTAATAAATTCAAGTAAGTTAAATTACTTTTATACCCTCCATTATATCCCCCACATTTCCTGTGGAAGTTGGAAGTATATCAACGTTGACCTTGTGAGCAGGTCCGCAGTTCTTCTAAACACTCCACATTTATGACCCCTTATTGTTCGAAAAATCACTTTTTCTTTTAGCTTGTTCTCTATCCAGCTCTTGCAAAATGTGCGCATATCTTGCCTGGCAACTGCTGTTTTTTTTAGTTTTTTCTCTGTCCATCTCTTGCAAAATGTGGGTGTATCTTGCCTGGCAACCGCTGGTTTCTTTCCGTTTGTATCTCCATTAATACACAACAAACAGTCAGACTGTTGTTATTTTACATGATTAGTTAATGTTATTTTGTATCTTTAATGAATGTTTTTTGATTTTTTTAGTTCTAAACCTATCAAATTTGTTGAACGGTCAAGAGCTGGAGCACGGATGTTGTGTTCATCATTTTCACCAGGTGGTATGTTTTTAGCTACTGGTAATTCTGATCATGTCATCCGTGTCTACTTTCTACATAGTTCATGTCCTGAAAAAATCTGTGAGCTTGAAGTACACAAGGTAAGAAATATTTCTGATGTATTTATTAATTAAGATACATATGCTTTTTATCTGCCCACATTGATTAAACACAGATCCTATTTCGTTTGGTTTTTATAGTTCAAAATATTGTTTTACTTGTCTTTACTACACTAGGATCTGGAAGAGTTGTTATCATTGACGTGTTCTGGATGATGTCAGGGATTAGCCAATGAAATGGTCTAATGCGGTGGGTTCTTGGCCTTTTAATGCACAGAACTGTGGGTAAACCACTAGAAACGTCAACACTAATTGATTAATCAATGTCAGATCTTCATGTAGTGTAGACCATCGAAAGTATAAAAAAACGAAACGAAATATAGATCAGTATTTTAATCAGATTGGGCCATAGATTGTGCATTCTCAACAACTGTTGGAGTTATGATTCTTGAGATGAAGAAACCTATTGATTTTTAACGATTTCCAATAATTAACCTCTGGGTTATAAGTCTTCATTAACTTAAAACATTTTACGGATGCTTTAAGTTTAAAGGTTAAATTTATTATGCAATTTACTTGAAGTTTACACATAGACATAGTGTTTAAGCTTAATAATTTTCATAATCTCGAATAGCCAGTATGTTTTGTATAATAAGTGTCAGCATTGGGAAGCCAATCAAATCAAAATTTCTGCTAATGATAGATTGCATTTGTTACTCATTATTAGTTTATCTGCTGTGGGCTTGAATTATTGTGATGAAACTTGAAATATGGGTTTATATCCCAAAGATCTCAGTTCCTTTCGATATTGGCATGTATCGGTTTGTAACTTCCATGTATTATGGCCCCTGATTGTATGAAAAATCACATTTTTAGCTTGTAGACAATCTAGAGGTCACAATTTTTATCCAATTTTGATGAAACTTAAAATGCATGTTTATAACCCAATAATCTCACTTCCTTATGATATTGGCGCTAGTGTTGTGCGGTTTTTAAATTTTCTTTCGGTTTCGGTTTTTCTGGGGCAAAAAACCTCGGTTTCGGTTTTCGTTTTTTTTATTCATTTAAACACTGTATTATGAATGTACTGATTTATGGTTATCTTATATGAATACTTGGAAGCTAGAAAAAATATAAAACATATTGATGTAAATTGTAAACAAGTTTTTTTATACGCCCACATTTTCATGTGGATGTATTATGCCGTCGCCCCTGTCTGTCCGTCCACAATTTGTTTGTGGACACTCTACAGGTCACAATTCTTATCCGATTTTGACGAAACTTGAAATATAGGTTTATCTCCAAAAGATCTCGGTTCCTTTCGATATTGGCATGTATCGGATCGAAACTTCATGGATTATGGCCCCTGTTTGTACGAAAAATCACGTTTTTAGCTTGTGGACACTATAGAGGTCACAATTTTTATCCGATTTTGTTGAAACTTGAAATCTAAGTTGATAATCCAAAGATCTCGGTTCCTTTCGATATTCGCACATATCGGACCCTAACTTCCTGAATTATGGCCCCTGATTTTACCAAAAATCGTGTTTTTAGCTTGTGGACCCTATAGAGGTCATAATTTTTATCCGATTTAAAAAACCGTTCAATTATATCACCGTTACACCCTAAGGATGGCTGAGTTCGAATTTTGTGAAAATCGGCCCGAAATTGACAGACAAAATGGCCGTCGTTCGTTCTCAAATAGCGTAAAAATATGGTATATCAATGTTGTGGACACTATAGAGGTCACAGTTTTTATCCAATTTTCTTGAAACTTGAAATCTAAGTTGATAATCCAAAGATCTCGGTTCCTTTCGATATTCGCGCATATCGGACCGTAACTTCCTGAATTATGGCCCCTGATTGTACCAAAAATCGTGTTTTTAGCTTGTGGACACTATAGAAGTCATAATTTTTATCAGATTTAAAAAACGTTCTATTATATCACTGTTACACCCTAAGGATGGCTGAGTTCGAATTTCGTGAAAATCGGCCCGAAATTGACAGACAAAATGGCCGTCGTTCGTTCTCAAATAGCGTAAAAATATGGTATATCAATGTTGTGGACATTATAGAGGTCACAATTTGTATCCGATTTTCTTGAAACTTGAAATCTAAGTTGATAATCCAAAAATCTTGGTTCCTTTCGATATTTTCGCATATCGGACCGTAACTTCCTGAATTATGGCCCCTGATTGTACCAAAAATCGTGTTTTTAGCTTGTGGACCCTATAGAGGTCATAATTTTTATCCGATTTAAAAAAACGTTCAATTATATCACCGTGACACCCTAAGGATGGCTGAGTTCGAATTTCGTGAAAATCGGCCCGAAATTGACAGACAAAATGGCCGCCGTTCGTTCTCAAATAGCGTAAAAATATGGTATATCAAGGTTGTGGACACTATAGAGGTCACAATTTTTATCCAATTTTGTTGAAACTTGAAATCTAAGTGGATAATCCAAAGATCTCGGTTTCTTTTGATATTCGCGCATATCGGACTGTAACTTCCTGAATTATGGCCCCTGATTGTACCAAAAATCGCGTTTTTAGCTTGTGGACCCTATAGAGGTCATAATTTTTATCCGATTTAAAAAAACATATTATTATATCACCGTTACACCGTAAGGATGGCTGAGTTCGAATTTCATGAAAATCGGCCCAAAATTGACAGACAAATCGGCCGCCGTTCGTTCTCAAATAGCGTAAAAGTACGGTATATCAAGGTTGTGGTCACAATTTTTATACGCCCACATTTTCATGTGGACGTATTATGCCGTCGCCCCCGTCCGTCCGTCCACAATTGTTTGTGGACTCTCTACAGGTCACAATTCTTATCCGATTTCGACGAAACTTGAAATATAGGTGTATCCCCAAAAGATCTCGGCTGCTTTCGATATTGGCATGTATCGGATCGAAACTTCATGGATTATGGCCCCTGTTTGTACGAAAAATCATGTTTTTAGCTTGTGGACCCTATAGAGGTCACAATTTTTATCCGATTTTGTTGAAACTTGAAATGTAAGTTTATAACCCAAAGATCTCGGTTCCTTTTGATATTCGCGCATATCGGACTGTAATTTCCTGAATTATGGCCCCTGATTGTACGAAAAATCGCGTTTTTAGCTTGTGGACCCTATAGAGGTCATAATTTTTATCCGATTTAAAAAACTGTATTATTATATCACCGATACACCCTAAGGACGACTGAGTTTGAATTTCGTGAAAATTGGCCCAAAATTGACAGACAAAATAGCCGCCGTTCCTTCTGGAATAGCATAAGAATATGTTATATCAAGGTTGTGGACCCTATAGAGGTCACAATTTTTATCCGATTTTGTTGAAACTTGAAATATAAGTTTATAACCCAAAGATCTTGGTTCCTTTCGATATTCGCACATATCGGACCGTAACTCCCTGAATTATGGCCCCTGATTGTACGAAAAATTGCGTTTTTAGCTTGTGGATCCTATAGAGGTCATAATTTTTATCCGATTTAAAAAAACGTATTATTATATCACCGTTACACCCTGAGGACGACTGAGTTCGAATTTCGTGAAAATCGGCCCAAAATTGACAGACAAAATGGCTGCCGTTCTTTCTCAAATAGGGTAAAGTATATCAAGGTTGTGGACCCTATAGAGGTCACAATTTTTATCCGATTTTGTTGAAACTTGAAATGTAAGTTTATAACCCAAAGATCTCGGTTCCTTTCGATATTCACGCATATCGAATTGTAATTTCCTGAATTATGGCCCTTGATTGTAGGAAAAATCACTTTCTTGTTAGCTTATTCTCTATCCATCTCTCGAAAATGTGGACCTATCCTGCCTGGCAGCCGCTGGTTTACTGTTATATGACTTTAATTATGACTAGTAAAAACAAAGTTACTGTAAAAAAAAAGATCTGTCAAACAAGTTACACAACACCATAATAATAAATTAACATAACAATAATAAATTAACATAACAACATAATACCAATGTCCAGAAACAATAAAGTTACTGTAAGCTTATAAAAGATCCGAAGAACTTATCCAACAAATCGAAACAGTCAGTGACCCAGTGTCTTAAATTATGGTTCAGAAAAACAAGCATTTCTGTCATCCAATCTTTCGTAGTGAGAGAGCCATGGACTCGAAGTCGAAGACATTTTACTTCTTGAGGAAGCCATCGTGCGTAACTATTGACAACCGGCTAAGGCTTGCATAAAATTTTGGATTATAAACCGAACCGAATTGAGAAAATAAATAGTCTAGGCCGTCCAGACTTATTAAACTATTAAACACTCTATACATAGAGGGCCTGGTTGATCAAAAATAAAAACGGAAGTGGTGGCTACATTAAAATTTTGGAGTTTCTCAAACATTTCCGAAACCAAAAACAGGTAAATTAAAATTTAGGAATTTGGAAACTATAATATGAAACGCACGGTTATTTTTTGTTTTATCGGTTCGGTTTTCAGTTTATATGTAAAAACCGCGGTTATTCGGTTAAACCGAAAAACCGCACAGCACTAATTGGCGCATATTGAACCGTACCTTCCTAGAATACGATTAATCACGTTTTTATCTTGTAAACCCTCAACCACTTAGTTCTCAGTTCATAGTGGATCAATTTAAATGAAATTTTCAGCAAATTGCCTTTACATTATCTAGTTTTTATACGCCCACATTGAAATGTGGTCGTATATTGTCGTCGCCCCATTCGTCGATCCGTTAATTGACTTTAAATTTATGTACAGTGTTTATGGCCATGAAAGGAAGAAGCCTATGATTTTCAGCGATTTTCGATAATTACTGCCAGAGTTATGGCCCTTGATCACTTAAAAAAATGTTGTGGACGCTCTAGAGGCCAAAGTTAATATCCCATTGACTTTAAATTTATACACACTGCTTAAGGTCATGAGACGGAGAAGCCTATTGATTTTCAGCGATTTACGATAATTACTGCCAGAGTTATGGCCCTTGATCACTTTGAAAAATCTTTTGAGCACTCTAAAGGCTAAAGTTAATATCCGATTGACTTTAAATTTATACACAGTGTTTAGGGTCATGAGATGAAGTCTATTCATTTTCAGTGATTTACGATATTTACTGCCAGAGTTATGGCCCTTGATCACTTTGAAAAATCTTGTGGACGCTCTAAAGGCTCAAGTTAATATCCAATTGACTTTAAATTTATACACAGTGTTTAGGGTCATGAGATGAAGTCTATTCATTTTCAGTGATTTTCGATATTTACTGCCAGAGTTATGGCCCTTGATCACTTTGTGAAATCTTGTGGACGCTTTAGAGGCTAAAGTCAATATCCGATTGACTTGAAATTTATACACAGTGTTTAAGGTCATGAGACAAAGAAGTCTATTCATTTTCAGTGATTTTCGATAATTACTGTCACAGTTATGGCCCTTGATCACTTTGAAAAATCTTGTGACGCTCTAGAGGCTAAAGTTATCATCCGATCGACTTCAGATTGATACACAGAGTTTAAGAGCTTGAGACGAACAAGTATATTGATTTTCATTTTCAATGAATTTTTATGACTTGAACAGCTAAATCCATGATATTAAAAGTTTTGTATACTAAATGTTAGCATGGGGCAGAACCTTATAAAAACCAAACAAATTCTAATGGTTTTCTGATAATTACTTCATGAGTGTATTATAAATGTTTCATTACCGAAAGAAGTAAAAATATGTGACAACACTTGTTGACTGCCCGGACGATTTAGCTGCTGTGGGCATATGTTTTGTTGCCTGGCAACCTATCTTTAACTATTATAGTAAGAACTGCCAACTCCCAGAATCTATCTTTAAAATGCATGTTTTTAACCCAATAATCTCACTTCCTCCCAATATTGGTGCATAACGAACTGCAACTTTCTGGAATATGAAACAATGATGTACGAAAAATCATGTTTTTAGATTCTGGACATTCTAGAGGTCACAATTTTGATTTGTTTTTGATGAAACTTTACATTTATATTTATATCACAAAGATCTTGGATCCTTTCATTATTTGCGCATATCGGTCTGTAACTTCCTGGACTATGGCCCCTGATTGTACAAAAAAATCAAGTTTTTAGCTTGTGGACCCTTTATAGGTCACAATTTTTATCTGATTTAAAAAAAACTTTTATTATATCACCGTTACACCATAGTGACAGTTGAGTTCGAATTTCGTAAAAATTGGACCCAAACCTCCCAACAAAATAGCCTATTGAATTTCAGCAATTTCCATTCATTTCTTCTACTGTTATGGCTCTTGTTTCACTTTGTTAAACTGTATGAACGCTCAAATGACTGTTATCATTTGATCTGTATGAAATTTATATGCATGATTTGAAGTAATGAAACAAAGAATCTTATTGAATTTCACCAATTTCCGTTTAACTTTGTTGAACCTTGTGAATGCTCAAATGATGGAAGTTATCACTTTATCGGACACAATAACTTTCTAATTGAGCTAGAGTGTTTAAACTTGGTGTAGGTGTTTATTAGGTGAATGCCTTGATGGAGTTCGAAGATGAGCATTTTCAGCTTAGGGTAAATGAATTAAACTTTAGTTCTAATTGAGTGATAGTGGGGAAACTTTGTGTATACTTTCATTACATCAACACCTTAACAAAGTTTGATGCTGAGCATGTTCTGCTCAGGGTAAGCAGAGCCATAAGCAATTTGATTGTTCGAGACTTTGGAACACAATAACCCTGCTTTTAATTGAGGTAAAATGTTCAAAATTGGTGTAGGTGTTTGTTAGGTGAATGCCTTGACAGACTTCGATCATGCACATCTTTCACTAAGGCTAAGCAAAGATAAGCAATTTGGTTGGTTGAGACTTTGGAACACAATGACTTTGGTTCTAATTGGGTGAGAGCGATGAAACTCTGAATATAGATTCATCATGTCAATACCTTGACTAAGTAACATAACAACTCTGCTTTTAATTGATGTTCATTAGGTGAATGTCTTGAACGAGTTCAATGATTGATATTTCCCGCTAATGCTAAACAGAGCTAAGCCGTTTCATGGGTCGATGCTATGGGACAAAATAACTTTGATTCTAACTGATGGAGAGTGATGAAACTATACAATACCAGGTACTTCAAAACCTGACTGAGTTTGATCGTGACAATTTTATGCTTAGACTAAGCATAGATAATCAGTTTGATTGGTCGATACTTTTGAAAAAGATAAATTTGCAATTAATTAATGTGTGTCATCTATTGGCATGTTATTTCTAGAGTTATGGTCCTTGTTTCCCTTTGATGAACCTTGTGAACAAAAGTTATCATCCGATCTGTATGAAATTAATATGCATCATTTAAATTAGTAAAACGAAGACACATATTGAATTTCAGCAATTTCCATCAATTACTACTTGTGTTACTTTGTCGAATGACAAATTTATATTTATTATTTAAATTAGTAAAACGTAAAGCCTATTGAATTTCAACAATTTTTGTAAATTACTTTCAGAGTTAGGGCAATTGTTTCATGTTTGTAGAACTTTGTGAACCCTCAAAATTATAATCTGATCTGTATGAAATTGTCTTGTATATGCCCCCAATTCCCTACAAAAGAATAAATATGCAACAACCTTTGTCGAACGCTAAGACAATTTAGCTGCTGTGGGCATTTGTTTTGTTGCCTGGCAACCTATCTTTGACATTGTATTAAAAAGTTCAATTAAGCTTTTACAAATATCACTTGCCGTTCAGGTAAAATGGATTGTATTAATTTGTAAGAATTGTGTTTATATACGTGTGTATTTTACAGGACCGTGTCGACAGTATAGCTTACAGTAATCATAGTATTAACTTTGTTAGCGGAAGTCAAGATGGAACAGCTCGAATCTGGCGCTATGAAAGACAAGAATGGAGAGCTATGGTTCTAAATATGAATTCACCAAGGTGTGTACTCTTTTGTAGTAAGGTATATGTGAGAAACTAAGTATATATGGTATATATAAATATTGTGGTGTAATTGTCAAGATATTTGGAGATATTTATTTATCGCGGGACACCCTAATAATGCTCTTTGACACACAGACACCTGTAACATGGAAAATCACTTTTAAAAATGACATCCAACTGTGACTATTGACTTTATTGTCCCCCGCCTTTTGAAGAAAGCAGGGGACTATTAAAATGAGTCCGTTTGTCTGTCAGTCCGCCTGTCAGTCCATCACACTTTTTGGGACACAATAACTCTCTTTCTAATTGTGCTAGAATGTTCAAACTTGGTGTAGGTGTTTATTAGGTCCATACCTTGATGGAGTTCGAAGATGAACATTTTCTGCTTAGGGTAAGCAGAGATAAGCAATTTGATTGGTTGATGCTTTGGGACACGATAAGCTTAGTTCTAATTAAGTGAGAGTGATGAAATTTGGTGTATAGTTTCATTACATCAATACCATAAATAAGTTCAATAATGAGCATGTTCTGCTCAGGGTAAGCAGAGTGATAAGCAATTTGATTGTTCGAGACTTTGGAACACAATAACTCTCCCTCTAATTGAGGTAGAATGTTCAAACTTAGTGTAGGCATTCATCAGGTGAATGCCTTGATGGAGTTTGATAATGAACACTTACTGCAGAGTGTAAGCAGAGCTATAAGCAATCTGATTGGTTGATGCTTTGGGGCACAATAACTTTGTTTATAGTGAGAGCGATGAAACTCTGAATATAGATTCATTATATCATTACCATGACTAAGTTTGATGGTGCGAATTTTCTGCTTAGGCTAAGGAGCGATAATCAATTTGATTGGTCAAGACTTTGGAACATAACAACTCTGCTTTTAATTGAGGTGGAATATTTAAACTTGATGTAGAGGTTCATTAGGTGAATGTCTTGACTGAGTTCAATGATTAACATTTCAAGCTTAAGCTAAGCAGAGCTAATCAATTTCATTGGTCGATGCTTTAGGACAAGATAATCTTGATTCTATCTGATAGAGAGTGATGAAACTTATAGTTTGATCGCTTGACACTTTTGAAAAGATCAATATGTGTCATCTATTTATTTTGGGATTTCGGCGGGGGACATCAACCTCACTGTTGGCTTGTATTTAATACATTGTTTAAGATCATGAGACAAAGAAGCCTATCAATTTCCAATGATTATGGCAACTGATATTAAATGTTTTGTATGCTAAATGTTAGAATAGGGCAGAACTAGAAGCCGAATGGGTTGTTACTTGTAATCTGATTTTAATGTGTTGTAAATGTTTTCATTTCTGACAAAAGAAAAAAATATGTGCCTGCCAGGGCTTGCCACGAGACGTACGTGAGCAATTGCTCGCGCTCGCGCTGTGCTCACGTAAATCTACATTTACGCGAGCGGTTCGTTGCTCGCGCAAAATTTTAAGAAAAATCTGTAAAAAAATCAAAATATTGACAAGTTTATTGCCGAAACTAACCCAACAATGTCAATAACGTCATAAATTCGTCTGTCAAACTGAGATTCACCCAGCTGCACGCGGCATTTCCTCCTTAAATTTGATTGGCTAATGAAGTTACTCGCCACTTGTGTTACTAAAAATACACTTGAGACCTGAACGTCATGACTGATTTTCCTACGAACACCAGTAACAAACGCGTGATAATCGAGTCTAAAGTAAAGAATGTTTACATCCGGCATTTGGCATTCACGCTAAATAAACACGTTTCAAACTAATATTTATCGGTATTTCTTATTTTATCAGAACTTCGGTTTTTATTCCATTGTGCCGTCGTATAATTTTCAATCTGAGCGTAATAATGGCCAAAGGAAACCTGATTGCCCTATCCACATTTATGTCGTGGGGTGAAGAAATCCATACGGAAATTGGTTTTAAAGAAGAGTCGTATGACTGTCAAAAACAGAAAGCGATGGTCACACATATTTACTGCAAAGCCTGGAATAGCAATTTCTTATGATTTTAAATTGAAGCAATGTTACAAAATGTGTGCTCACGTAAACAACATTTTGCGTGAGCAATTTTTATTGCTCGCCCAAACCTAAATTTGCGTGAGCAGTGATCTGCTCGCCATCAATTTATTCGTAGCCAGCCCTGCCTGGCAACCAATCTTACATGTATTTCGCGCCAACATCAACCATTTGACTAGCACTAGAAGAGTGGTATCGCTTAAAACGTGTTTTTTAGCGCTTGAAAGTATGCATATAGTTTACTTTCAAAACATAGTTTGATAATTGATAAAAATCGTTTTAAGTGCACATAAGATGGGCTTGGGAATTTTAGTAGGTGTCACAGCTCCATTGCCCACGTTGGAAGAAAGTCATTTTTCCCCGATTTGTAACCCCTTTTCAACTTGGTGTCATACGGTGGCTATTTAATATTTTGTAATAATTTTAAAATATTTTGGAAGCCGATATCCTGTTCTTTTGTTTGATATAATTTTTATATATGTGTTCATTTTATTAATTTCATAAACGTAAGTTGAAAAACGTTAATTTCCCGTGTTTTGACGTTACGCTGAAAAATTTTGTCATGTTTTTAAACGAGGGTACCCCACTTCAAGTGCTCGGCGGGCGCACTTATTATTAATATTATTTTTTCATTCTAATATCATTAGAAAGATAAATGAACGATCTTTCAATTGGTCGGGGGTGCTTTGTTGGCATTTCGAAATACCATGCATTTTTTGCAAGTTGAACGCTTCAATTCACGCAATCTTTTTTTTAGGCGATTTGTCAATATAGCACCCCCGACCGATTGAAAGTTCGTTTTATTGTCGTTTTGATGCTATTAAAATCAACAAAATCGGAGCATGGCAAGTGCGCCCGCCAAGCAATTGAAAATGGTATACAATGAGAAATTTTGTCAAAAATAAATCGCGTAGTTTAGCCTTGTTATGACGTCATTTCAACACCAAAACTAAAATGTATTCCATGTTCCTTAGACTCATATTCGCGGTAAATTACGTCGAAAGGCAACTCCGATGTTTATTTATGAAGTAAGCGTTATGTTATATGAATAAAGGACTTGCCTGAAAATAAATAAGGATAGTTAATTCCATTTTTTTCACGCCTTTTGGCTTTGCTGGGTTGACTGTGTTTACATCACGTGACTCATATTCGCGCGCTTTTATAACCATGTGACAGGATATAAATATAAAATCGAATGGAAATTTCCTATCGGCGACCACACGTCTTTACTTTTAACACCAAACATTTTTCAAGAATTGAACAATTCCGTAAAATTGACGAATAAATCATAAATTCGCTGTTCACTGAATTATTCAAGCCCAATTTTAAAGCATTTCTGTGCACACGAATGGAAATGAAACCGGAAAACATCCACACGGGTCTTGCTCTTGGTACTGACAGCAGGCGTGAGGAAGATAGTATAGTACTACTGATAATTAGTACATCGATTTCTATCCACTTAAACGGATATTATACCCAAATATATAAAGTTGGACCAACTAGCTGAAATAATTTGAAAAATGGCTCAATTTCTGGATTTGCCGTTGGCGATTTGCAACATTTCGTTTGAGATGATGGAACCGACATAGATTATGAATTAGGTCAGTCATGTCAATACTAATTACTATTGTCCCCCGCCTTTCGAAGAAAGCAGGGGACTATTAAAATGGGTTCGTCCGTCTGTCTGTCCGTCTGTCTGTCCGTCTGTCTGTCCGTCTGTCTGTCCGTCTGTCCGTCCGTCCGTCTGTCTGTCTGTCTGTCCGTCTGTCTGTCCGTCACACTTTTTGGGACACAATAACTCTCTTCCTAATTGAGCTAGAATGTTCAAACTTGGTGTATGTGTTTATTAGGTCAATGCCTTGATGGAGTTCGAAGATGAGCATTTTCCGCTTAGGGTAAGCAGAGATAAGCAATTTGATTGGTTGATGCTTTGGGACACGATAACTCTCTTCCTAATTGGGCTAGAATGTTCAAACTTGGTGTATGTGTTGATTAGGTCAATGCCTTGATGGAGTTCGAAGATGAGCATTTTCCGCTTGAGATGATGGAACCGACATAGATTATGAATTAGGTCAGTCATGTCAATACTAATTACTATTGTCCCCCGCCTTTCGAAGAAAGCAGGGGACTATTAAAATGGGTTCGTCCGTCTGTCTGTCCGTCTGTCTGTCCGTCTGTCTGTCCGTCTGTCCGTCCGTCTGTCTGTCTGTCCGTCTGTCTGTCCGTCACACTTTTTGGGACACAATAACTCTCTTCCTAATTGAGCTAGAATGTTCAAACTTGGTGTATGTGTTTATTAGGTCAATGCCTTGATGGAGTTCGAAGATGAGCATTTTCCGCTTAGGGTAAGCAGAGATAAGCAATTTGATTGGTTGATGCTTTGGGACACGATAACTCTCTTCCTAATTGGGCTAGAATGTTCAAACTTGGTGTATGTGTTGATTAGGTCAATGCCTTGATGGAGTTCGAAGATGAGCATTTTCCGCTTAGGGTAAGCAGAGATAAGCAATTTGATTGGTTGATGCTTTGGGACACGATAACTTTTAATTGAGCTAGAATGTTCAAACTTGGTGTATGTGTTTATTAGGTCAATGCCTCGATGGAGTTCGAAGATGAGCATTTTCCGCTTAGGGTAAGCAGAGATAAGCAATTTGATTGGTTGATACTTTGGGGCACGATAACTCTCTTCCTAATTGAGCTAGAATGTTCAAACTTGGTGTATGTGTTGATTAGGTCAATGCCTTGATGGAGTTCGAAAATGAGCATTTTCCGCTTAGGGTAAGCAGAGATAAGCAATTTGATTGGTTGATGCTTTGGGACACGATAACTTTAGTTCTAATTAAGTGAGATTGATGAAACTTGGTGTATAGTTTCATGACAGTAATACCTTGACTAAGTTTGATAATGAGCATTTTCTGCTCAGGGTAAGCAGCAATTTGATTGGTTGATACTTTGGGGCACGATAACTCTCTTCCTAATTGA